CGCCCCCTCTTTCCTGGGCTCCACCTTCTCCCTGAGCCTTGGTGACACCATTGGGCGAGGCCTGGCCCTGCCCTTCTCTGACCACCTTATCTCAGGGACCTCGTCCTCCTTCCCTCAGCCTCTCGCTGCCAATCACCCTCCAGACTCAAACTCACCTCCAGGACCAGAGGGATTAACACAAAGCGTGATGGGACGGAGTTTGGGAAGGCTGGGGTGTGGGAAGCGAGCACACGGATGGAGCCCCAGTCCACAGGGCGCAGCTGCTGCTTGGCCATGAAGGACGGGCACCGTTCAGACTTCAGATGCCAGCTCCGTTCTACGACACCATCCACTTCTCAAGACAACCCGGAAACCCCATCGTCACAGAGAATCTCACGATTTGGGCAAACAAATCAAATTTAAATTATCTGAGCCAAACTAAACGTGTTGAGCGGAACACGGCCCATCAGTGACCAGTGCGTGACCTCGCTCTCTGCCTTTATCACCAAAGCCACCGCACCCCCAAAACTGCTTTCCCTTCCGGGCTGCCAGGTACCCGTCACCGCGGGGCTGCTCTCCGTGGCCCCCTCCCTGCCTGGGCCAGGCCCCACTGTGCTCACACTCGCTGACGGCCCAAGCCGGGGTCGCCAACTTACACTGGCTCCTAACCGGCTGCGGTAACATGTCTTCCCAGAATCTCGTGTCGACTGTCGGAACCTTGTCCACGAAGTCCCTGAGCCCCGTCTCTCCCCACACATTCTGCCCGCCTTTCTCTGGATGCCACCCCTCCGGCATCTCGAGGACCCGGCACGATCAACTGGTCACTGCTGAAGCCGAGGGAGGGGAGAAAGAGCGCTTTTCATGCATCTTTAACCAATATAGACTCTTAACCTCCGCCACCATCAGACTCGATTGTGGTGCTGCGACTCATAATCAGAAGTAGCTACTTGCCCACCCCAACGAGATCCCCCCAGTGGCTCCTTACATGGAAGACCCTACGTGTCAATCTCCACCCGCTCACCTATGTTCAAGTCTCACTGACTTTCCTCCCTTAGAACAGGGGTTCCCCAACCTCCTCCCCCT